TGGATCACTAGGAATCGCTATGGCTTCAAAGCGGATCTTGAAGGAGCTTAAGGATCTTCAGAAGGATCCTCCTACCTCTTGCAGCGCTGGTACGTAGCTAACATTCGATCGAAAAATCTGAATTTAATTTAGAAGCTTTGATGAGGACATAATTGCGATTTGTTTCGGTGAAATTTTTTTGGGTGCCCTTGTTGGAAAATGTTTCGATTCTTTAATTTCAACTTGTGTTGTTAGTTTTTACTGATTTTTGTGGTGTTTTTGTTTTGGGGTAATGTTTCTCTGTTGTGATCTTCAAGAAGAAAACTTGTGTCTATCAATCCACCATTAATTTGAAGAGAATAATAGTGCTAGTTCTAATTGATGTGCAACAGTATTAAGTGTAACCCCTCATCTTTGTAGGTGAATGTTGTTTGTCTCTTGCCCGAATTTTATGTCCCTTTGCCCTTGTCTGTATTGTGTCTTTTGGTGTTGGATTTTTGTTGGACACTTGTATAAAATTCAAGAATTTTTCATTTTTTTTCTTCTTTCATCAATGGGGTTTGTACCCGGGATTCTGTTCCCAAGTCGAAATTCTTAGGTACTGTGTGAAATTTTAACGATGTACGGGTAGAAATCCGATCATAAGAAGTAGGAATAATGAATCTCATTTGGGTTTAATGATGAGCTTGGCACTGGCTCGAACTAGTTGTCTGATCTTTGTGTAGCTTTATACATATATATTGTTTCTTAGCTGTACAGGATAATGAACTTAATAAAAATAATAATAATAATAATAATGAACTTTACACAGGATTTTGATTTTAACAAGATGATTTCTCAGGATTTTCGCAGACACTATTCATCGTTTAACATTTTCCTTTTAACTAGCACCTAAATTGTAATACAATGCGGCGTTGTGAGATACATACAGATGAAAAAAAGCTTGCTAACATATGAATATCTTCTTTGTCTTTATCCCACTGTTTTAGTTGTGCTCGAACCTTAATCAACTGCATACATCCAGTTTCATTTGCTGTTATCATCTTTCTTTTTTCTTTTTCTTTTGTTTTGCCTCGAATTATATGTTTTTATATATCATTAATTCAGGTCCCGTGGCTGAGGACATGTTCCATTGGCAAGCTACAATCATGGGTCCTCCGGATTGTCCATATACTGGTGGAGTTTTCTTAGTCACCATTCATTTTCCTCCGGACTACCCGTTCAAGCCTCCCAAGGTATTTCGTATTATCTAAAGTTCTTTTCTAAATCCAAAATTCTCTCCTGTCATGTTAAGAATCGGATAGAGAACTATTTTGTATCTATGTCTATGAAGGATTTGGGTCTTTATTCTTTAAGGTTCATTTCTGTTTGTGGTGTTCTTTTTCTTTCCTCAGCATGCCAAGATTCTGCTCTTAAACTTCCCTAATATTATATACATGTTCTCGAATTTCAGTTTGATATTTTCACCATATAATCATCTTGATGAATTTCTGCAGGTTTCTTTCCGAACGAAAGTTTTCCACCCAAACATAAACAGCAATGGAAGCATATGCCTCGACATATTGAAGGAACAATGGAGCCCTGCCCTAACTATTTCTAAGGTGATTTTTCCAACATTTTACAGCTATGTTTGGTAAGACTATATGTTTGGTAGACAAAAAAGCTAGCTTATATAGCTTATTTGGTTAGCTTATAAGCTTCGTTTGGTAGGTCGAGTTTTTTATAAAAGCTCGAGCTTATCTCATAAGTTTTTTTCGGTAGTCAGCTCGTTGGAATTTTTATTTTAGCTAGCTTATCAACTAATTTTACCAAACACTTCTATCATATAAGCTAGCTTTTTAGCCATAAGTAATAAACTATCAGCTATAAGCTCATAATTCACTTAAAAGCTATAAGTTAGCATATGAGCTATCAGCTAGGTTTACCAAACATAGCTCATAATCAATCGCTCTTCAATATTTTCAGTTTGTCGTATTTGAAGGAGTTCTGTCTTTATATGCACACATACGTATATGTTTATATTTCCACCTCGTATTTTCAGGTATTGCTATCTATATGCTCTTTGTTGACCGACCCAAACCCTGATGACCCGTTAGTGCCGGAGATAGCTCACATGTACAAAACCGACAAGACCAAGTACGAAACAACTGCAAGGAGCTGGACTCAGAAATATGCCATGGGCTAGCCGTGTTTTCAGTGTGAACCGTGGTTTGGACCCTTTTCGAACACTTTGCTTTTTTACCTTTTATTTACTGAATAGGCTAATGCTTTGTTGAAGCTCTATATCTGGACTTAAGTAGTGGTCCAAGATGCTGACTTAAAGAAGAAAAAGAGCCATTGCTTTCAACTGGTTTGTATGTGTAGTTGATAATTTGCTTGTGTTCTTTTAACAATTAATGTCCCCTGCTTGCTATCAAGTTTATTTTTTCTTGCTTTTTTAGCTCATTAAATTTGAGCAAGTTTTTATGAAATTTTAGGCGTTTTAGCTTTTTTATATGCTTTAGCTCCCTTTGGGGTTTGGTACGCTATCTTTTTATCAAAAAGAAAACAATAAACCTAAAATGACAATTAAAAGATAGTATAAAATGTCCTACTTAAAATGTTCATATACCAATCTTACACTACTTATAACTTGTAAGTATATAACTTTTAAGTATAGGGAATTTTACGGTCCCGTTACGGAATCATTCTGTCGAGGTTTGTAACTATTAGATCATCATGTAACAGTCGAGGATAGTTGAACTAACGGCTACAAACTCCGATGAAATGGTTGTGTAACGGGACCGTAGCATCTCCCGTAGTTTTAATATGCCAATAAAAGCATGAAAAATGGGGCAAACTTTAGAGCATCTGCAATGTTTTAGCTCTAGTTTTGTCTATGTAAAATGTAAATGAATCTAAGTCTTAGATGACATGGACAAAAATATATAAAATTAACAAAATCAACTCCAATGCAAGGAGATTAGGTCTCTACTTGGGTCTAAAATGATTTAAGGCTAGACCAGTCTCTTTTTCTTGCTGCCACGTCAGCAAGACCTGGTCCACTTACACTTGCATTGGAGAACATATTTTTTTAGACTGAGTCTATTTTCGAGGTGGCATTCAAATTTTTTTGATTGAACCCAAAACATTGTGGATGCTCTTACATTTCAAGTAAATGGCAGAGGCCTAAAAAATAGAACTATATACTTCTATGTCAACTTGATATTGACCAATTCAATACACAAATTTCACAAGTCTAAAAATTATTTAGCCCTTCTACATGTTTACTCAATTTTTTGAAGATTATTGCGAAGTACGATATTTAAAAATTAAAATAGGATCATATATACATCATTTATAAACAAGTCATAAGTAATAAATAATACAATTAATTGTATCATAAACAAGTCATTTATAAACAATTAAAATTTTTGTTGTTAATTTTAATTGTATTATTTTTTGATACAATTAAAATTAACAACAAAAATAAATAAAAAATCACCCATCATAAACACTATAAGTCTGTATATTTGTAATTATAAATACTTTATAATACATAAATGAATATAAATTTGTAGGTATATGATGTAACGTAGGGGTGGGCACGGTTCGGTTAACCGAACTTTTTGAGGTATTTGCTAACCGAACCGAACCGAGCAAATATTCGAACTCGCTAACCGAAACCGAACCGAAAATATCGGTTAACCGAATTTTCGGTTAACCGAAAAAAATCCTACTATTTGCGAATTAACCGAACCGAACCGAACCGAGCGAACCTAACACAAATCTGTTTGTTCGCAAATAATAAACCGAACCGAACCGAACCGAAAACATTAATATAAATATAATATATAATATATAATATATAATATAATATAATATATATTTTAATAAAATATATTTTATAATATATAATATATAATATAATATATATTTTAATAAAATATATATTTTATAATATATAATATATAATATAATATATATTTTATAAATTTTAATATAATATACGGTTCGGTTCGGTTAACCGGGGTAAAAAAATCTTAAAAACCGTAACCGAACCGAACCGAGCAAATACTTCATTTGAGGTATTTGTAACCGAACCGAGTCCCCCGGTTAACCGAAAATTCGGTTCGATTTCGACTCGGATCTACGATTCAGCGGTTCGGTTCGAATTTTTTGCCCAATGTAACGTATCCAAAATATATCAATTCATACAATTAAAAAACGCACAGTTGCTTTGACCATTTTGATGGGCTTATGAGCTCGACAAATAGTGCTTTTACATATGTTATGCTGAGGCAATACAATTCCAACCTGAGGCCCATAATCATGACTGGGCCTGCACCATGGACTAGCCTTGAGCCCAGTAAGCCTCTTAAATTTTGTTATTCTAAGAAACACAAAAGAATTCAGACAAAATATATATTTATATATATATATATATATATATAAAAATAAAAAATTTTAACCTGATACATGGTTGACTTAGAAAATTTTCACGGTCGTAACTTGATAAATTGGAGCGAATGTTCAATTTGTTGAATTAAAAAAAAAAAATCAATTTTCAAACATGTTTGTATAGTGAATTAGTAGTACATTCAACATTAGTTTGAGCAACATTGCGGATTGGAGCAAAAACCGCACGGAATTGATGGAAACTACACCAAATCGCAAAGACCAGCTCGGTTTTTTTGTTTCGGTTCGATTATTCTATACATTTTTTTTATTATTTTGGTTATGTTCATGCAAATATGCTAAAGAATATATAAAATTGTGTTTGTGTTAAAAAAAATGTATCTCACGATGATGCTTTAAAAAATCGAACTGAAAAAAAAAAAAAAAAATATGGCTCGACTCGGTTTTTTTGATTTCTGAACGATTTTGCTTCACACCCTCATTCAACAAGATACAACATGTTTGAAAATTCGAATGTGTTAATAAAGATCTGAATATTCAATCTAATTAGAATCCAAATAATGAAAACTTATACATATGCAAGAATATTTCATAATTTTAAGCTTATAATCACCTCATAATCTAAAAAAAAATTGCCATAAATCACCGAACAATTATCTTTTAATTAATGACAATTAATCATTGTTTAAGAAAGTCGGGCACCATGACGTCACCCTTACTCATTATATCACATTTTTATTTTTATTTTTTTTAAAAAATAAAATCCATTTTAATTTTTAATCATGGCTGATAGAATAATGGATCACTGAATATATAATAATTAGATTTCTTCCAATTTTGAGGCATCAAATCATCAAGATGAATCTCCCATTAGGATTAAGAAATTAACAATGATTAATCTCGTCTTAATTAAAAATCAGGACCACTAATGACAAACTATATTAATTTAATTAAACCCCTTAATTATTAGGATGTTGCTGACCGGCTTCCCGCTTTTACGCAATCAAAAGGAAGCTTCACAAAAAGCGTTTTCGTAAATCACTTCACGAGATTGTGACATTTTTGTCTAATCAAATAAAGTTGAGCTCTAATTATCAAAAATTTGCAAGGAGTTAATTAAATAGCCTAAATTTATGGAAATTAGTTAGATATAATTATAAATTTATGAGTCACTTTTAAATATATTGAAATTCTATTATATATATTTTGGTTTAATAATTATTTTGTATTTTCTCATGAAGAAAGTCTAATGTACAGTCAACCGATGGTGAGAATATGAGATAGGTATTGTGTCAATACCAACAAAAAAAATCACATAAAGCAATAAATATAATTCAATTTTATATCAATAAAATAATTGACTATTGAATAATTAGGCTCATATAATTCAGACTGATTGTTAGATTACTATATATTCTTTAAATATTGTGTATATACAAATGACATATATTACAAAATAACGTAAAGAAAAATATAATATATACGTTTATCTGAAAAATATGACGTATTGGCCTGCTTAATCGAATTAAATTGTTTCATACAAGAATTTATGAAATTTATCATAGACTTGAAGGAATATTGTTACATATATTTGTAGCTAGCTTTTAAATAATTAAATATTACTTGCTGAAGAAATTAACTAAGGTAAGAATTTAATAATTGGCAATTAGCAACTGAACAACGAAATTAAGATGGCAATTAGTGACTAACACATGTAATAAAATGATAATTTGTTGACAATTTCAAAGTTTGAATCTTGATTGGATCCATGGATCTCTCTGTAATTAGGATTAAAGAATAATTAATTATAATCCTAGGATATATATTATTAAACCTTATCAAGAATCTCTAGTTTAATTTGCGCGTGACAAAATACTAGAGTTTCTTTTATAATCCACATTAGAAAAAAAAAAAGAAAGAAAAAGAAAAATTGAATGCAATTAAAAAAATTGAAAAAAATAAAAAAAAAATAAAAAAAATAAGAATGTGACCACGTAAAGTCGCATGTTTGCAGTAGCCTTTTTGACCGCGCAAAAACGCGCTTCTTTATCTTGTCCCTAACACGCAGACAGTGTGTTGGAGAGTGTTTAGCTGTGTACACATATTTAGTTAGCTGGCGATTTAAAGTTAATGGGAATTTAAACAAACCATAATTTTTAAATCCGGTCCGGTGGAAATCGACTCGGGCAGGTCTCCGGTCACAAAACAATGAAACAAACTGTACTAAAATTCTTGATAATCTACGTGGAAAAAGGAAATGCCAACAGCCAATATTTTAAAAATTGGCGGCTCCCTTTATTTTTATTTTTTTTCTTTGTTTCTTTCTTCGTCTTTTTCTTCTTTTTTTTTTAAAAAAAAAAAATAGGTGTGATGGGACATAATAGTTGTTAAATGAAACGAGTCACGAACTGATTCGACTTGGCTAATTTATCACTTCCAGATCGTGTGGTTTGCAGTTTTTTGTAATTCTGACTCAAATTAGACTCATTAATCTCGTGCAAAACTCGTTTATATTGATAAATGAGTCGAGATCAAGATACTTCATTGACTTGGTTTGGTAACGATTCGAACTTAGTTTGACAAAGCTTGAACTCGATTTTGAATATCAATAGCTCGATGTTGACTTATTTACACTCGAGCTAGTTAGAAAACATACTACTTTTAAATTTATGATTGTCCGGATTTTGAATAAAAATGTACTGTTACTTGTACTGTAACAAAATATAATTTTCTCAACAAAATATCTCTATAATATTCACAAAATCAAACTTAAGATATTAATCTTTG